TTTTTTGTGTTTTGTCTCCCATCGGCCACGCTGACTACGGCACTCTATACCCCCCCACTATATCTCGAATTTGGAGATTTCACGACTGTACGCATAGCACCAGGCGCCTAGTACTCTTACACACAGACGTATTGAGCACCTCGACCACACACTATGACTGTATCACTTTCTCGCCCGGTTGTGGCACTAGCTTATCAGCGCTCTTGCATGCGCGAGATAAGGCCATCCCAGCATCTCGGGAATAGTAAGGATTATTGATGCGGCCGTCATTGGCCGACATCTGCATCGCGTAGTTATTGAGAAATATTGCGGCCGCGTAGCACACGCAGGGCCGCGACGCTGCCAGCTCTCGGAGCAGTAGGCCCTTCCGACGACAAGAATGCTGCTGCAGCGTTGTTTCCGTGGGTGACGCAGCGAATGCGTCGTAAAGTCAAGGAAAAAAGAGACCTGTAGTCAAGGGAGAGGCGACCCGACGCGAACAGCCTCGAAACTACTCTAGGAGTAGCTAGCCAAGGGCGGACCGAGTTAGCACGCGCTGCGCTCGCCAAAAACATCCAGGGCTCCTCCCTTTTCCCGCCCTTGGCGAGCTTTTGGGGGCTGCGCGGCGCGCACCTCCTCGTATTCCTCCCCCCTCCCTTTGCCTTTGCGCATGCGGGTGATCATCCGCACCCGTCCATTCACCTGCTTGCTTACTTGCTTGCTGACAGATTGCTTAGATCTGCTGACTGGGTTTCTGCCGCACCTTGGATCGCTAATCCCCTGCCCTCCTCCTACGCATATAGCGTCGCGCGCCAGAACATGCATGTAAGGGCCTGCTTATGTACACATAAATAGGGCTGTATGTTTTGCCATGCCGGCTGCCTGCGAGGAGAGTCGCCAACTGACCGGAGGAATTTCCGGTTCGCCAAGTTGGATAGCCCACGGCGTCGGGTCGCCAAGCGAGGAGAGGGTGGGAAACAAGATTTGTCAAGGGGAGTTGGCAACAGAAGCTCGGGAGGAATGCCGCCGTGTCTCTGGAGCGTTGAGACACTCGGGTGAGTACACCTGTTGGCCGCTTTGAGGCTTGTTGCGGCGCCGAGTGATTACTTGCAGCCTTTTAAACCTCATGCTTCGTACGTGTAACTTCAATTCATTTTAGTGTGACCTTGTGGAAGTACTGGTGTCGGCTCTATACAGCTCGAATGCACGGCCATACCAGTGTGCCGTAAACACACAGAAAAAAAAAAAATGTATCAAACATTTAGAGAGAGCCCGTTCCACTGACTCTCTCCCTCTGATTGGTATCGAAGTCCCCAACATGGCGTCCACCTAAGCCCTATTTTTGCTTACCTCACTGGCGCCGCTGGCCTTCCACGCGCTGAGAATCAAGTTGACTATGTGCTCGACGTTCTTGCCGTTCTTCACCTGGGCAAAGATCGTGGGGCCTCCCTCCCTACAGAACACGGGGTCAGCAAACGCATCCAACCCCATAGAAATGCTCGAGCTTACCGCATCTTTCGCGCATCTCTCTCCATAACATCCAAATCCGCGCCGACGATTTCAGCAAGATCCGTCTTGTTCACGACCAGCAGGTCGCTCTGGGTGATGCCCGGGCCGCCCTTCCTAGGGATCTTGTCGCCGCCGCTCACATCAATCACGTAGATGATGAAGTCGGCCAACTCCCTACTGTAGTTCGCCGCCAAGTTGTCACCACCGCTCTCGATCAGCAGCAGGTCCGTGTCGAAGTCCCGATGCAGATCCTCCAGCGCAGCCAGGTTGGTCGAAATGTCCTCGCGCACCGCAGCGTGCGGGCAGCCGCCCGTCTCAATGGCGCGAATCCGCTCCGGCGCCAGCGCGTTGTGCCGCGTCAAGAACTCGCAGTCCTCGCGCGTAAAGATGTCATTCGTGACGGCGGCTATGCTGTACTTGTCGCGAAGAGCTAAGCATAGGGCGAGCATGAGGGCCGTCTTGCCGGATCCGACGGGTCTGTATGACACACGTTAACTTGGCTGCTCCAGGTTTATAGTCCAATGGCTATCCCGAGCCAAGGCTGGGCGTGTGGGTGTGCGCGAAACTTCCTCCTCTCCGCCTTCCTACCAATTGTGTGCGCCATGCTGCATCGTGATGTTTTATACACGTACGTACCCGCCAATGCCAATGGTGAAGGCTCGCTCGCCCCAGCTTCTGCCCTCAATTATGGGCATCTCGCGCCCCAGGAAGGAGCCAGGTCCGTCGAGGATCTCATGGCTGTGGCCGTGCTCGGCTTGGCCTCCTGCGTGCGAGTGCGAAACGCTGTCGTGCGAGTGGGAGTGTGTCATGGTATCCAAGGGCCCGGATCTGTTAGGTAAGTGAAAGAGGTGGGAGGCCAGGGATCCGGTGGCAGAGGTTGATCGCGGAGGCTGGAGGGTCGTGTCACACGTGCCGCCTCCCGAGGCGGGGCGTGGGGTCGCTGTCGGCCCAATTGGCCAGAGCTTCATCCGCTATTGGTGCTCTAAAAGCTAGCTTTAACTGCCGTACAACAAAGTATCTATTGGAATAAGAGCTGATGTATATTTGTTTGAGCCAATTCCAACGAAGTTTGTGCGAACGTGATAGCCTCTACTCTCTTCACAGCCATCTAAGAAAAATTCCCCTCACTACCTCCCTAGCCGATGTCGCTCTTCCACGGAGTGTCGTCAGCGTGTTTATCCTCAAGGCTCAGACTCTTGGACCGGCAGAAGAGGCATTTTTCACAAGTTGTGTTGTCCATGGCGCGATCAGGGGTATGGGTGTAGATCGTCGCTGTCGATTTGTTTCGATCGAAGATTCCAGTCTAAGACACGATGATGCTATAGTCATTGTTGTCTGCAGGCATTTCATTTTGTTTTTACTGCGCAGGTACCACGTAGAAGCTACATGGTGGTTTCTTTTGCTACTTTCCAAAACCGGTGCCAAGCCTAGGTGACCATCGGGGTCATCAGAGCAGCTGGGAGTTTCTTTGGTGCCTGCCTCATCATCATTCATCGAGCCTCCTTTCCTACCAGCGACGAAACTACAACCACGCAAAAAAACAATAACCGAGAATGCCCGGCCTCGTTATCCCAAAGCTGCCAGTTCCTATTCCACTTCAACCCTAACCTTCTACAACCATCCGGATCGTTCAGCTTATAGCTTCAGGCATGAGAGAAGTCTGTCCCATCAACGATTATGTCACGCGAAAGCTTACCCAACACTGCCATAGTTGCCTACAGTTTCCTATCGCATCTATCCATTGATTCGCATCTTCTCCAGGGTATTACGCCGCATCGAGCCACAAGAGCCCCCAAGACGGCGCTACAACAGAAGTAGCCTCAACCTGTCAATTCAAACCACATTATGGCTTCTTGGGCCTGTTATTATCGGCCATAGGCGATATATGGACGTCATACGGAGAAGACTGGGCTTGATAAAGACACTGCGTATCACCAGACGAGCGCGGTGACACTCGCTGTACCATCGGAATAAGTAAATAATGGCAGCAACATTCAAACAACAAGGAGCCCACATCCACCATAGTCAAGCATACATGGAAGACCAAGAATGACAAAAGATGGATAGGCGGCTGGCTCAAACCCACAGTGCCAATGCAAAGACCTGCAGACACAGCTGATGCCAGAAAAGAGAAAGGATGGTCATGAAAGTAAACGCACAGATTTCAAGAACGGCACAGTGTTTTCTACGCTTCCGCTTCGCAGCAACACTCCAAGCCAGCGATTGTCAGTAACGTAGCGCGCTTGTCAAGTTGTCCAACTCCACGTTCTTGCATAACATATTCGAGAATAAGCCCATGAAAGGTAGCGGTTCCAAGGGCGGTGTTGCCAACCTTCGGCTTCAAACTCGTCAGATGGGCCAAGGGCTGAGTCGGTGGTGCTTTTTGGCAGTTGCGCCTGTCTTTGACCGCCCCAAAGCCTAGGGCTCCCGTTCATCTAGCCCATTAGCAAGAGGGAAACCATTGACTTCCTCATCGATTATATTATGATTGGCACCCTGTGGTGGTTTTTGTGTCCTGCCTCTAGCTGAGGTGCGTTTCCAGCATCCGGCTCTGCCTTGATTGTGGCTTGCTTAGTCTCGCGTGCTTTTGAGTCTCCGTTCCAGGCTTGCGCCTCTTATGGTTCTTTTCCCGTGCAGTAGAGCTGTAGTTCATCATCATCCTCGTCGTTGAAGATTCCGTCAAGGGTTTTAGGCTGAACTCCACAAACTGTGGTCGTGGCCAAGCACTCACAACCCCGCGCCAGTGCAGGCGATGAGAGCCGTGTGTAGTTGAGAGCGGAGCTGGCGTAGGTTATACCATGGAGAATCCAAGCATCTGCAATGTAATGCGTTAGTTCGGTCCAAACAACTCTCCGGACCTTCCTGTCGTAAGAAGAGGCTTGTCTGACGTCTCCAACTGGTATGTCCCTAAGAGCGCATCGTGCAAAAGCCCGCTTTCCGAGTCATCGTGTTATCTTGATCTCCTTAAATCCAGCACAGTTCGGAACTAGCCTCTTCCCTGATTGAACAAAGTAAGCTGTGATCGTAGGCTCACAGAACACGAAGCCACCGGCCCATCGAGTCTTGTGTGGGAGCCTGTTTGGCATGGCATTGAAGCAACTACAGAGAACTATGCGCAGGTAGTTGCACACTCTTTGTCCAATTCATAGACTCGACCGGCGGCATGAGTGCTCAGACCATTGAACCTCCCTGGTTCGATAGCTATGGACTACCTAGCTCTCACGAGTGTTGAGCTGAGCGAAGGTGACCGGGTTTTGTTCCCTCAATTTAGCGCACCCACAGCCACTTAGCCTCCAAGGCAGCATCTTGCGTCCTTCTGGTGATGTGCTAGCCAGCCCTTGAGCCAGTAAGTCTCTCCAACTCTCATCCATGCTTTGTGTCGAGGCAACCGCGACCCCATCAGCCAGCCTTTTCACCCAGTCAGCCACGCGTATGAAATATCGGTCCTCTTGCATCAGTGCCGTCACGCTTACCCTCACACCCAAGGCAATCCCTCTTTTTCCAAGTGTTCCACAGGTACAATAGATCCGGAATCGGTGAGCGAGGACCAGATGTAGCGCGAGGGATCTTAGTGCCGTCTACGAGAGGGATGATCATGACGGAGTATAAGTAAGAGGAATGGTGTTTGCAGCTGTTCTTGCGGGACTGGTAGTTAGCGACAATGCTGGGAAGCCATGGCTTCCTCATCTGTCAGCAAGTTTACGGTAGGGAGAGTCCATGGGGTGCCATCCTGAGCGTGAGAGATCCCCACTGTCCAAGTGTTGCGTACCATATGTTCAAGCTTTTGAAACAGGGTTTCTTCTTCGAAGTCCCACACAAGGTGAAGTCATCAATGAAAAAAAGAAATCTTAAAAACCCGAAAATCAGGATATCGAAGCTCAGTATCGAGTCCCGTGTTCGGTAAAAAAGAGTGTGAGGTCAAAGAAAAGTGTGTGTGGGAGGGATATCGAAGCAAGCAACGAGTCCCAGTCACGGAGCTCTCAATCGCCTATCGCTGTCGTATAGGCATTGATATGGACCAAGCTGGTATCCTTCACAAGGAAAGTGCTGCATTTAGCGGCCGCCATCAGGAATACACCGTCAGGTCAGACCATGCAGCATGCATTAGTACATTTCTTAGCGAAAAAAGCCCGGGGTCGGCTGAGTTGAGGAAGGATACGTGCGTCTGGAAAGTTTGAGCGTGAGCGTGAACGCTGCAGGCTCATGGGATATGGCGTGTCGAGTTGTGACTCGAAGTGGTCGAGGAGAGAAAGGAAGAAGTTGGTGGGAGGTTGACGGCGTTTATAAATGGCAGTAGGGCTCGGCCCGGAGCGCTAGCCGGCCCGTCACGACGACACTTTCGAGCCAGGCAATCACAGGGTGGGGGGAGGAGGTTCAAGCTGCAGTGAATTGCTTGCAGCTAGGGAAGGCATGTGGTGCCTTGGCTAGGTTAAAGACGCCACAGTTATTAAGCGCAGTGGAGCTTGGGCAGCCAGTCAAATCCGGGGTGCCTGATATTACCTAGGTAGGTTCTAACTATGGATGACTGGAGGACGGTGAAGGCTCTTGTCTCGTTGGCCATGAACATTGTCCCAGTCAAAGTCCTTGGCTTCACGGTCCCAAAGCCCGCTACCTGCATGTCATGTCAAGCTCTTTCAAGGAGCAGCAGAGAGGCAGCCTTGGTGTGAACCGAAAGTGGTGAATGGAGCACTGAGGCCGTGTCACGGGTGCCTGTGCGGCTGTGACTGCCCTAACTGAAGATCAGGTGGCCTCCCCCGTGGCCCTGGCGGCCCCTGGGCACTTTTCTTCACAGCTGGCGGGCAGACTGGGCATCAACGGAGGCAGGCACGGCGGGCAGGAGCCTGCTCCGGAGGCCGAGAGAGCCGCTAAGCGAGGCAGTTCCTCGGCCTATATAAGGGCCTCTCCTCTCTCTCCTTCTCCTCTTCTTTTTCTTCAGCTCTCTTTGCCTTTGGCTTAGATCAAGTGTAGTATCTGTTCTTTACAGTCTAATCGCTGTAACGTCCCTACGGGGGCTTCTTGATTAGCACTTTTTGGAGCCCGAGGGGTGGCCGCTGCGCTTGCGCATGTCGCTCCTCACTGTGTCGCCCGTATTTGCACTGTCTCGGGCTGACGCGAACATTCATCTTTTCATTGAGCTGCTCGGCTTGCCTGGGCCCTCGAAGAAAAGACTTGATTCTGTTGTCCCATTTTCATGCCCAGTTGCATGTTGTGATGCTCACAAAGTGACGCTTGATGTTGTTGTCCAGCTGAATGAGCCCACTCTGCTTTGCGTTGCTCCCAGGGAAACCAGCGTGCGAATTTTGATCCAGCACCTCACTTGGACGTGCTTCTAATGCAGCTGTGATTCGTTTTACGTGAATCCCCCTCCTGTAAGCCGCGTTGTGGAGAGAGCAGAGCAGAGAATGGTCGCGGCGAGTTGGCTATGAGTGTCGGAAGTCAGGGCAGGAGGCATCCACCAAACAAGACGGACAGTGGCACGCCCTGCAAAGAGGTCCCTCTTGACATCGATAGTACTGTGATGTGGCTTTGAGCAGCACTTTAGAGCCTTTTGAACTCTTGTTCCTAGTTGTGGTGTTGGCGATCCGCGCCGCCAACAGCCTACGTCGCCCATCCAGCCCGCTCACAGTCGCAACAGAGGCCAAGGGGCAACACCGCCACCATGCGATAGCAAACAGCCGCTTGCGCAGATTGCCACTGCGGTTGATCTCCTTTAAGCGGTCTGAGGAGGGACGTCCCACCCTCCCTGAGTGAGTCTGACAGGGAGCCACCGGCGGCCGACGCCATTGACGAGCCGGCTGCGTCTCAGAAG